CTCAGTTTGTCAGAAAAGCCTGCATGAGCTCTCTGGTCGGGGGCGCCGCAGTCTGCCGCGACACCGCAATCCCGAGATGTGACAACAATTGGTTGCTGACCCGCTAAGGGCACCTCTGGACGCCCGGAGGCTTTTGGGTGCGCAGGGCATGCTTCAGTGGAATTCGGTGAAGTAAGCGATAAGCGACGCATCAGTAAGATGTACTATTATCAGCGCTATGATCTGCAGTGGCTAGAAGTATATCTTAACAGATAACAGAGCGCATTAGTCCGGATCAGGTAATCCTGAACTCACCAAAACAGCTCTCTAACATGACTGCGACTTGGTGATCTCAAGTCCCTTTGTTGAAGCTCGTTAAGTATATACCAACAGCCGAAACTCCGGCATTTGCTTCGAGTTCTTATACGATGGATAGCGATAAACAATCAAGAAATGAGTCATTCTGTCTTGTCGCATTTGCCTCTGCTTGCTTATTGAATCTAGAGCTTTATCCTGAATCTCCTTCTTATCTAGGGTAAGCATTGCAGTGCTTTCAACTCTTTCTTCCATGGTTCCAGGTCTCCATAGAAGGAAGGCGCGTAAGACATTCATCATCTGAGGGTCAGCTTACGCCTTGGAAAGGCATTCAAAGCCGAAAAAAGGATTCCCGAAATGCGGGAACTTTTGTTGAAATGCGAAAACCAAAGTAGATGACTTTATTTATAATCCTCCTCTCCCGCCAATACTGGTACCAAGTATTGCGTTATTGCTCTTGATAGGTTCCAAGAACCGAACTGTTACTCTACATATATATATACACATCATCATGGGTGGCGGCCTAGACCTCTCCAAGCGGCTTCGTCTCCGAGAACTCCTGCCTGAGCTCTACATGGGCAGATGGCAGCCAGGTCATCTAAACTCCATTACCGATGTCCCGGGCGTCCTCGTTCACACCGAGTCAATCCAGCCTGACCAGGATGTCAACACTGGAGTCACCACTATTCTTCCCCGAGCAGACTGGTTCGACTACTCATGTCAGGCTGCCATCTTCAAGTTCAATGGCTCTGGGGAGATGACGGGATCTCACTGGATTGAGGAGTCGGGCACCTTAACGTCACCGATTATCCTGACGACAAACTCATCAATTGGAGATGCCTTTCGAGGCGTGTACGATTATGCGACCAAGTATCATGCAACCAAGGAGGGCGATGTGAACCTATTTGCGTTCCCTGTTGTGACTGAGACATATGATGGATACCTCAACAAGCAAACCCGCTTTGCGTTGACCCCAGATCACGTTGTCCGGGGCATTCGCAATGCGTCGGCTGATGCGGTGCCGGAAGGATGCACTGGAGGCGGCACGGGAATGATATGCCATCGGTTCAAGGGAGGCACGGGGTCCAGCAGCCGTATCGTACCTGGAATAGACAGCAAAGGAAACGCGAAGGACTATACCGTCGGCGTACTCGTTCAAGCCAACTATGGGCTTAAGGAAGACCTTCACATTGGTGGTGTCCCAGTTGGAAGAATCCTGATATCAGAAGCCCAAACGCCATGCTCGTCAGAAGCGCCCGCCATCCACGGGCCTCACGTTGACGGTAGCATCATTGTCATCATCGCCACAGACATTCCCCTGCTTCCAGTTCAACTTGAGCGACTTGCCAAGCGCGCCACTGTAGGACTCTCACGCGTCGGCGGCTATGGCAGCAATGGTTCGGGCGATATCTTCCTGGCCTTTTCTACAGCGGCCAAGATTCCCATGCAACGTCTCGAAGGCGGAGATCTAGACCCCTTCAAGCCCACGTCTTTCGAGGTGGGGACAGTGCACAATGAGACCATCAATGGCGCGTTTGAGGCTGTTGCTGACGCGACCGAGGAAGCCATTTGCAATGCTCTATGTATGGCAACGACTATGACTGGATACAAAGGGCGCACTGTCGAGGCATTAGATCTCAACAAGGTTAGAGAGATAGTGACGAAGCGACTGTGAAAAAGCACCAAGTTGGCTGCTCGGCCATTCCGCTGGACGCGATGCGACGCGTTGGTTTGGCGTATTTCATGAATGGGCATCATCTGCTGCGTGATGCCAAATGTTCGCAACCAAGAAAGAATACTGAATACAATATAATTCTTGAATGAAGGCCCATTCGTAGCTCTTTTCACGCCTGCCACGAATAGAAGGACAGCGAAAAGGACACATAGGCCACGCGTTTATCGTGACGTGTTGCGATATCTTCACATAGCATAGATGGTACCACGCGACGGCAATGATTTCAGATACTTCTGATGACAAATTTTTGAGTATATTCAAACTGACAATATTTTACAGACTATCTGGTTGTATAAACAGGCGACGCTTCTGATGGCCGGGGCAGTATAGTACAGATTCGTGACAAAGGAAACTAAGGAGTGGACCAGTACGATTGTGCCTGGTCCTTGGTAAGAGCTTCAACGTTGATGTTGTCAAGCTCGAAGTCGGTATCATCACCATCATCATGATCCTTCCAAGATCGCTCCGGCTCGGGGTTTCGTTCCGGTGTCTTGTCACCATTCTGGGAGACTCTGGCAGACCGGTTCGAGGGCCCCACGCTGTTAACACCAAGGTAGGTTGACTCCTCGATCTCTTCCAGCTCGCGGTGTTCCATGGCACGAGACGACCTTGCGGTCTTGGCTTCATCAAACGTGTAGTCGTCAATCCTCCTGGTGCGTCCAAGGAGCATTCGGAGGGAGGGCAGGCAAGCTGTAATGAGGCCGATGTTGACGTCAAGGGAGCTCCATAGCTCTGCAAATGGGTTAGCTCGACCATGGGAATGTGTATCGGGGATAGAACTTACCGATCGTGCTAAAGGAGCGGAACGACCCGTTGTCTCCGAGCTCCACGTTCAGGAATCGAACTAGAGAGATGGCGATGTCGAGAAGACCGACCAATGACACAAAGTACAGACCAAGCTTGGCTCGTTTGGTCAAATCGAGATCATGAACGACAGTGAATGGGAGTATCAAGACTATACTGTGTTAGCAAAAAGTTTGAACAGGAGAGGTGATATGGTGTCAACGTACTGAGAAGACTGCCTAAGAAAGACAAAGCCCAAGAGACCTGAAAGACAATACCCTGCCATCGCCAGTCGCATGCGGTCAATGGCCGAGTGATGACCCTGCCAAATGTCAGTAAATGATATCCACGTATGAGACATCTCTGTAAGACATACCAGTGCCTCTCAATAGGCATACAAGAAAAGAGCTGCATGCAAAGAGTCGCGGCATACGCCAGTCCGCAGTAAAAGACAGTGATCCAGAGTGTCTTACGACGCCTCCCCATAAAAGCCGGGAAGATCTGGAAGTACATAGATAAGAGAATTGCTTTAGATAGATATGTTGTCGCATAGAAGGGGATTTCGCTGGCCCAGGACATCTTGACGCATGTTAGTCCCTGTCACAGTCTGAGTGTTTACACAAATCTTACCTTGTAAATGTACTCAACCTTTTCTTCACCCGGGTTATAATTCTCAAAGCCGACACTGATTCGGGGCCTGAGAACATCAAGATGGTAGAACACGACGTCGAATGCCGCACACGATATAGCGGCACATAATGCCAGGATCATAAACCAGTCACTCGTAACCAACCTCTCCCTCTGGATCCTGAGTCGGTAAAAGAATCGAGTTGCTATAATAACAGCCGCGAAAGCGATAAGGCTGAAGGTCGTGCCCTGCGAGACATCAATAACCAATCTTCACTTACACTGACGCAAGCGATGTAAGTGAGACACGGAACGTACGATCACGGCTGCACCCGTAGGTGGAGGGAAAGCTTTTGTCAGAGTCATTTTGGATAAGGAGCGTATAAAGTGCACCGAGAATGAGAGACAAGGTGAAGCAGGATTGTAATGAGATTGAAAACAAAGGCACGAAACGGATGCGTCCTTGTCTTATTGTTCGGCAAGGCCATAACACTAAGTTGGATGCGGACAGGGCCCTGGAATGCGGCGGCGCTTTTCGTGGCGATTCGCCCTGACTCTAGCCTTGCCTAGCGTCACGAAATGCAAATCGTCAGTGATTTGACAATTACTAGCCAGGGCGAGGAGCCCGTGGAGGCTTGGGGTTAGGTTTTGCTAGACGACATGTGCATTCCTTGTCCGGAGGTCTCATAGATCGGACGGCTAGATAAGGTTTGACAGCAAAGGGTCCTCGATCGTCTTTGGTATGGTTGCACCTCTGATCTGGGGCTTTCGCGTCGTTGTTATAGGCGTCTTGAACTTTGGAAAGGTCTGTGGTGGTCTAGTTGCATCACCTGCATCATGCAGGAACCCGATGTAAGGGCGAGAACACTGACCAAGACTCGACGCTGAGCTTGTTGGACGGAACAGAAGTGCCTAATATCGAAGTGGAACACAGAATGATAGATAAGCTGCTCTGTTCACTCGAGCGAACTTTGTTGATCTGAGCCGTTCAGTACCTGAGTCGCAGAATCTTTCGCGCAGCCCGTGTAAGAGTTTCAAGGGCGCCGCCATGGCTACTGGTCACGCAAAGCCACTCGAAGCCGTCTCTTCCTCCAAACAACGTGACGCCCTGTGATTGCCGATGGACAGGCAGTGGTGACGTACTTTTTCACATACCGCATTCCGCTGAGGATCGGCACTGATCTTCTTACCAGTTTAACTAATCTAGAATCACGAAGTTCAAGGGAATGCAAAACCGACGTCAATCGACATTAAAAAGGTATGTGGTGGCACTGAAGCCGTTGCCAATTGTTGGCCACAATGACATAGCTAGTTGATGGCTCCAGGATGCTCTGATCTCATCAGAAGAGTGCCATCATGAGCGTCATATCTACATATGCACTGTCTAAATGATGCGAATGCATCATATTGCAAGAAGAGATATTCATAGTCAAACATGCGGCAGTATTGATAGTTATTAAAGAACATGTACTAGATTTTCTATGACAACAACCTCAATATATGTCGAAAGCGACGTGATGAGTCTCAGACAAACATCTCCACGGGGGGAGAATGCAGTCTACTATTTCTGTTCGGCGATAAGAGTGTCGAAAAGCCCCATTCTGACAGTATTCAGCTCCTTAACATCCTTGATCTCTTGTTCAATCTGGTCTAGACACTTCTGTTCGCTGTCCTGCTTGGGCCTCCAACCCAACGCGGTTCCGTTTGCCGGCTCGAGATCGCCACTGAGACTGGTAAGCATTTGAATCATTTTGAGGCCAAGGGAAACCTACTTGGGCATGCACATGGGACGAATGAACCTTCGTGGAAATCCGAGGGCATCAGCTGCAACGTCGTAGTTGGGCCAAATCTTTGGTGTTGGCTCGTCAACAAGACCGTGAGCGTAGAGACCCTCTGCAATCTTATCCATGATTTTCCACCAGCTGATGCGATGAGCAATTGAGAAGAAGTATCTATCAGTTCCGACAGCGATAGGCTCCTCTTTCAGGATCTTGCTGAGGATGAGAATGTACAGATCCGTAAGATCGGAGATATGTACATTTCCAGGAGTCTTGAAATTTGTTAGACTGACATCTCTTGCGTGCGAACAGCGGACAGTTCTTACCGAGTCTCGATCGAACTTGTGGACCGTCTTCAGTTTGATGCTCGTCCGAATCAAAGCAGGAATATTGACAGAGAGCTTTCTGCACTCGCCAGTTCCACGTCCATCTATACTAACATTAGTATTATGTACCAGATTGGACAATGTCAGGGATACCTACAAGTGAGCTGGATGGGGATGTTGAAAGTCTCGACACCCTGGGCCTTCCCTTCATCGGCAAGAACAATGTTTGTCTAAATTCCTTCAGCATGGAAAATCACCTCACGTATAGGTTTTCGGGCCTACCTTTCGAACAGGGTTATCAAGGCCAAGCTCCCTCTGCCTATCGATGAGGGGATCAGAGTCTTTGACCTTGCCGAAAGGCCATCCGCCTTCCTCGGTAAACATGGACGCAACCGAAGACTGCTGAGGTATTAGAAAGACTTCAGATGTATGTAGGAGGAACTTGCATGAATCAGGTATGTGTTGTTGCCGGTAGCTCGGCGGCGGTCTCCAAGACCACTGAGCAGGTTTGACAACATGTCTGGGAAAATGGCTCCAGCTGTATGGATGACGATGTCGACTGAGAAGATTGTCAGACACAACGAACCCAGACACAAGCTGAAAGCTTACTCTCATATTTCGCAATCGCATATTCCACAGCAGGCTTATCTTGGAGGTCCACGAGAAAGGCATGGACTCTTTCGAGTTTGGATATCTTATCGACCTGATCTTGGCTTCGAGCAGCCGCAAAAACATTGATTTCCTTCAACGACTCATCGGTGCGAGAAAGAATATCAGCGACGACAGAGCCACCACTGTTTATGGTTAGCAAAGGAGAGATTGATCAAGATGGCTCACTTACATGTAGCCGGCGGCTCCAGTAACAAGGACGTTGTGAGGCATGATGCTGAGAAGATAACGTAAGGTAATGTGATGATTTGCAGGCTGTAGTTTAGCAGTGAACTTAGCTTGAGTTCCGAATAATTCCTCTTGAGCAGAAAACATTCATTTATAGTCATCTTTCCTTGACCTTCAGCTACCCATCTCCATCCCAAATGTCATTCTCCAGGTACCAAGAGGTGGCTCGGTAATTCTGATTGGCTCTGCCGACTCCACAATTGACCAATACCTGGAAATCCGCGCGTTTCCGGGAGGTTTTGTCATCGTAGGACTTGTCCCCTCCCTCGTAACACTGTGACCGAGTCTCTGTCAATGACAAACATTTACCGACCAACTAATCAGGATGGAATCGCGCGCGTCTCCGAATGACAAGGGAGGTTCAAACCGCCCTGCGATCAGTCGCCGCTCGGTATAGACCCATACAAAACTCCCAATACTATTTACTGTACAGAGTTGTTGACTGACATGCTTGTTAGTGCGATCAATGCCGAGCAAGAAAGGTACCATTAATTATAGTATGTCTGGCGTCTACTAAGATTTGCTAGATCGGATGTGACAGAGCAACGCCTTGTTCCAACTGCGTATCAGCCCGCGTTGACTGCACCCACAGCAGGATCGCGCCCAAGCCAAGCACTGCCCGACAAAGAGTCTTGGTCTCTGAAAAATAGTATTTAAGATCTTCTTGGTTGTAACGTTCTGAAACCTAATTTCTCTGAAACAGTGAGCGAAAGATTGATGACATCTCCCGCGATGTCAGCAGCATTAAGACACTGTTGGCAGGACTCGACCTGAATAGAGTCACGCCAGCTCAAACATCACAAGAGCAACGTCGTTTGGCTTTTATATCTCCAAGCCCAGCTGAGGCAAATAAGTCGGATAAGCCCCGGCCTTCTGACAGCGCTGCTCCGCCTCCTCGCTGGGATTACTCCGCCCATATCATAGACTTTGTTCAATCCATTATTCAGGACAATGGCCCAGTTCAAGCAGATACCGAGTGGAGCAATACCATTTCTTCGCTAAAAAGTCTTGTAAATGCTTTGAAGAACACTCAGATGACACGAGGCCAACAGCCAAAACCTCATGAGTCACTGGAAAGTATTCTGACGCCCCCATTGGCAGCCGTCGTGGAAATTCTGCGATGGGTCAAAGGTATATCAGCGCATGATTGTCTCTATCCATGCTGACAATATTAGGTCACTCAAAAGATCATAGAGTAGTCTGGATATGCCGTTTCCTTCCTCTCGATGTCTTTCTAGATATTTGCAACAAGGTCTACTTCCGTGTTGAGGATCATACCGAGGCTGAGTTTATCATCGCAAATAGCTTTCTATCATACGTGTTTGCTGAATATGCTGTCATTCACGGAGATGCGAAGTCACAAGAATACTGTCGCTTTTATCGGTCCCAAGTTGGCAGCGGTCTTAGGAAACTGACTCTGTTGGCTGCGCCATGCATGGAGTTGATCGCCGCGCTTGCTCTTGGGGTATACTGGCATCAACTGTAGTTCTAAGACAGCAGCTAACGTTCGTAAGGCAATTTACTCGGTCGAGGAAAGTCGAGCATCACAGTCGTGGACATTGATCTCGACCGGAATGACGCTGTGCCAGACACTGGGCTATCATCGGCTTGACTCTCCCAAAGATGGCCTTCAACAGATGCAGTCCGACTTGTTCTGGGTCGTTTACGCATACGAGAAAGGCCTCTCATTGAGACTGGGACGATGCTCTGGTGTTCGCGACTCTGAGGTTTGTTCGCCACGTCAGGCAAATCAGCATCGATCCGTTCGTCTCGGGCGGATACAGGGAAAGGCATATGACCAGTTGTATAGCCCTGAGGGCTTAAGAACATCGAACACTACCCGTTACGAGGTAGCCAATGGTCTTGCACAGGAGCTTCAGTGTATCATAGATGAGACCCATCACGAGATCGCAGTACGTGGTAACCCCTTCCGTCTTGCCAGAGTGACTGACAGTGTATGTAGCAAGCTTTGACGGAGAACAGAGACATGGGCGATGACCCTATGAAAGTCATATACCTTCATTGCGATCTCGTTTGCCAATCAGCCTTAACGGCCATGGTACTCAGGGTATTGCCTGGCTCCCGAGGCATGGAGGTGCATGAAAGCTGTCTCACTGTTGCTCGCAACACCTTAGACCTGCATGATCAGTGCATGAAACTAGTCAATGGGTGCAAAGATCCGCTGTTGATTCGAAGATATATAAACTGGTAAGCACACTATTCTTCAGCCGCTTTTTCTACCGTCAGCTGACCTCTTAGCAGGGCTATCTTGCATACGCCCTTCTTTCCATTCAGCATAGTCTTCACTCATGCAGTGAGATACTCAATTGTGGAGGATTTTGACCGCCTGGATAGATTCGCATCGTCATTCAAGTCGGAGTGTACCCATTCAGAGCCGGCGACACATCCCCATCGACTTTACGAACTTCTCAGCAAAGCCGCCCGACTCAGTGCCAAAGCATGCCCCGAGCTTTCACACACGAGTACATCCCTACCAAGCTCAAGCGACTTCACGATGATTGATCCCGAGGTAGTAAATACTGTGGATGGAATTGCCGCAACTGACGTTGCAATCGGTGCCGAATACGATGCGTCACTCCAGATCGGTGATTGGTTTCATAGCAACCAGCAATTTATGAGGCTCCTGCACGAAGACGTACCATACTGAAATCAGGTCTATAAATCTTCCTTGCGGATGACGTTATACCTGATGAGAAAAAGTGCAACACAGTAAGCTTATGCGGTAGTGAGTGACGTGTCAAGCTCTTCTTCATATGATCAGAGTAGCTGAAGCAGACCTCAGAGGCACATGCAGCGAGTTTTCAGTCCATAAATACTCTTCACATGGTTTTTTAGATTACGGAAATAATGTGGAGTCTTCAGATGCAATTGAAAACAAGGTTCTCATGCATAAATGTTATGTTCTGGAATCACAACAAGACACGCGGTGTAAGTGCGGATCCCATCACATGCAAATCCAGGTGCTGTTGGGCTTCGCAGCCTAAACCCCAGCGGGTAAAGACAACAGACCGATCTGCCGTGTCACGGGGGGAATGGAATGTTGATGCATCGGGCTGATTCTGTCGCCGATCGTTCCGTGCCGGACTAAATTGCATCGTCAGATCAGCTCATGGCCAGCTAAACTCTTATCGTCTACTCCGTATCGGCCCACGCGGATGCCGAGGTTCAGAGATATACCTGCCAACTGCCCCAACGAAATCACTGCAACATGTCCTTTTATTGCGGAAACCCTTCAGCCTCATTTTTTTTGGAGAAATGTACTAGACTAACTCTTTCAAACCCTGCATAGGCGTCTGTCAGCATCATGCAAGCCTCGTCGACGAACCAACACAATAACCAGCCTCTCGCTGCTGCCTTTAGTGGCGTAGCCTCAACACCGTATTCCCTCTTCGAGATCAGGTATGTATCTTGACCAGACGAATTTTGCACATTCACTAAAATAACTATAAGACTTGAACGCGAATTTGTTGTCTTTTGGGGTAGCCGATATGAATCAACAGATCAACTACTCAAGGGCGTCGTAGTCCTGTGTCTACAGTCGCCACTCAAGCTCGATGAAGTCAGACTTCGCCTAGATGGTACTGTACGCCATGCATGGTTAAATGATCCCGGTGTGGCGCACAACACCAGCATCATGAAGCACAAGTGGCCCTCGTTGCTGGAAGCAGGTGGCAAGAGCGTCACTCTACCAGCTGGCAACTATGAGTGGCCGTTCGAACTGATGATGGCGGGTGACACTTCTGAAAGCCTTGAGGGTAGCCGGGATGCTTCCATAACGTATGGATTGAGAGCGACTATCAGTAGAGGCAAGCTTGCTCGGCATATCAGTTGCACCAAGAAGCTTCGAATAATCCGCACATTTGCACCAACTGCCCTGGAGTTCATGCATAATATGAGTGTCGAGCAGACATGGATCAACAAAGTCGACTATTCGGTGTCTATACCGACCAAGGCCGCTGTATTCGGCGGCTCGATAGTTCTCGAAACACGATTTACACCACTGGTCAAAGGGCTCGAGATTGAAAAGATTGTCGTAACTTTGGTGGAGTTTCAGGAGTTCAGCATGCACAGCAGACACTATATCTACACAAGAGAACACAAAAGCAAGCGCGAGATCTCCCAGTGGGACTTTGCGATGTCAAGAGAGCAATATTGGCAGGATACTATAGAGGAAACGGGTCAAGAGGGATGGGTTATGAAGAAGACGCTTCAGTTACCGAAGAGACTGAGCGAGTGCATTCAAGACATAGACACACAAGGCATCAGGGTCTACCACAAACTTAAGATACACATACCCATTCGGAATCAGGACGGGCATGTCTCGCATGTAAGTCAACCCTTTTCAAGGTACAGAGCGCAAAGAATAACTTCTCAGCTTGACTTGGGTATTCCAGTCAATATCTTCATTTCACCTTCCATCACTCTTGACGACCAAGGCAACTTGATCGACCAAGCCCCCACTACACAAGGACCACCAAGCGAATTAATAGGACCGCCAGTGTATGGAGAACACATTCTCGACCAGTTATACGACAGTCTGGAGGACTGGCAGATTCCTGGCCAAGGTACCAACCACGGCGAGGGAGAAGGATCTGGTACCAGCACTCCTCACCACACAGACTCGAATGAGAGTCAGACATACGAGAACTCCAACACATTAGAATCGTCGCAGTTAAGTCAGAGCCACAGCCCATCTCGCAGCTCATCCGAAACTGTATCTACCGACCCAGAAGAACTTGCTGAACTTAGCAAAGTTCCGACATATCGCACGGCGCTCCGGACTCCATTACAACCGCATGCCCAGCAAGGTGGAGCCCTGCCTCCTGATTATCGAACAGCCTCTGCAACGGCAGCGACCGATAGTTGATATTGAATCATTATAGAATGTTGATTTGTTTCTTGAGGGAGCCATAGCCATGTATTCATGCCCCTTTACCGTAATCTGGAATGGACGAATTGAACCAGGAGACAAGCATTAGAAACACCCTGCAAGACAACAACACATTATGCTTAGGGTGTATCATCATCCTTGGATTGTATTTTTAGTTTGAAGCATCTCAAGAAACAGTGGCTTGCTATATGAATGCCATGATTCAAGTGGCTTATGGGCTTGGTTGGCGCTAGCATGTCACTTAACGACTTAGTAATGGCAAGGCCTATGGTTCTTTTCTGCTGGTACAGCTCTGTAGAAGTATGGCCTATGATTCGTCTTATTTTCTAATGTTTCTTGTATTTACGTCTTGAATGATAATCTCCATCAAACGAAATGGTAGCAAGTGAAATTCGTTTATGTGGATGGCAAGAATGGTTCTGCTAATAGACCTCTACTTGCAGTCTACCAACCTTTAATTTCTATCCTATTTTTCTTTTCAGAATTTGTGTTACACTTGGTCCTCTCTCGGTCCTTACCTCTCTGACAGTCAAAGAGTCTCTTCTCTCCAGTAAGCATTTGCATGCTTCAGAATTCACTCGGCCCTCCTAAACTTGACTGCCTAGATCTTATCGTCACCTAAAGCCCGCTGCTTCCTTTAAAGATATTCAACAGAGCGTTTTAATTCCCCGTATCGCTATAGCTCCAAATAGGGGCCATTACGGGTAGCAGAGCCTCCAGTTTGAAACCAGTATTCGTATGAATCGACTTCTACTTTTACGACGAGGTCCTGGCTCCAAAGCTCAAAGAAGGCATCCCGGCATTCTTTGCACGTGAAGCACTTGTAATAAGTTCTAGAGGTTTTTTCACACTCCTCTCCAGGAATGCATCGCTCAGGATATTTGTCCTGAAAGAAGGCATGCTGGCACTTCTACAAGGTCTTTTCCCCCGGAGCCGTGGTCGCTTTACAGTGCCCACACTTGAGCCCAGGGTAGACTGTGTGGCACATAATGGGCAAGGGTTTCGGTGTATGCTTGTGAGTTTAAGTGTCTAGCTAGAATTCCAAGTTGCTTTGCTATACTAGCTTGGGAGGTATGGACATGAGATTGGTTTCAATTCTATGGGCAGATGAAGCGTATTTACATCCTTTCTCCGTCCGCATTAATTAATCTCCACTGTTAGCTGAGCTAGGAAGTTATTTTTGGTTGTTTGATGACTCTCCGAACTCGTGGGCCTGTTCTCCTGAGCCTCCCATTATTGTTAGACTCTTACACGGTTGAACAAGGGCCACCGAAGCAATACCTGTCATAAAAACATACTCTTCTGCTTTTTGCTGTTATTATGTTTTATATTTGTCACAAACTGGTGCGAATGACGTTGCTGTTCGTTACGTATCATCAGATCCTCCAACATCCCTGTGGCAATCGTGAAGTCAGCACATTGAAGGCTTTGGTTTCCTGTATTGAACCAGATAATACTCATAAACGCAAATGATGCTTTTAAGTGCATCAATTCTCTCACCGTGTTCTCGCGTTGTTGACTCAAAGACTAGGAGGCGACCATGACATTGCTCGTAGGGAAAAATCAGACTCGGTTGTGAAGCCAGTCATCTGAAAAACAAGGGTTCTGAAAGGAATATGAAGGGATCTAATGCCGAGTTTACCACAATATGCTTGTGACTCACAGACTTGACCTAAACCGAGCAGGTAACTAAGTACATTTCTTGACATTTATCGTGAATTCATGAACCCCCACACGATGTCAGCGAGGGTAACCGATGCTTCTGAACGGTGACCCCTTGCTCTTAAACCTTTGCAATCATACCCTCCTGCAAAAAACTGAGCAATCCTTGATCCTCCTCACATATGATATAAGCCAGCGGAATAACACGCCATGCAACTTTCTCGCAATCGATTGGAGCGTATTGAACATCTGTACTATGAGCGGCTATTGTACTCTTGGCCTACTGAGCTTCCTCCTCTGGGAGGTCATGATAGAAAAGATGAATGGGATCAGTCGGCACCAGAGTCCCGTCAGATTCAGCAACAAGCGCTGGAGGCAGCTTTCTACCAGAGAGACTGGCCAATGAATCATTTTCCGAAGGAATGAAGGCGGTAATGAAGATCATGTCAGTGACGCCTCCTTCTTTTGACCCGGGCGAAACAGCAAAATTCGCTAAAGCTGCAGAAGCAAGCATGCCTCCCCACGAGTGACCAATGACAGTGAGATGCGTGCCTGCAGCAACCTCCTTAGAGACGATGCCTTTGATGAAGTCGATATCATCTTGGATTGTTTTGTTTGGCGGCACAACGTTACTGTTTGTTGGAAGGCGTTCGCAGATGACTCTTACCACCATGGCTCTGCAGCTCATGAATGAGTTTGTAGTAGTGTTCAGGGACGTGCCAAGCCCCTGTGATCAAGAGCACAGCGTTGGGACCTGCCATAGAAAAGTTCCAGCTGAGTTCTCAGCTATTTGAGAAGAATATAATACTTTGCATTCATGTCGAGCTTCTGGTTGATAGAAAGAGATTTATATATAGCTTCGCATGCTTGGTGAGAAGGCCCAAAACGGAAGCTCATTCGAGAGCCAACAAGTATTTGGCGGCGCTAATTCTGATAGCCAGTAAGAAAATTTGTCTTAATGACTTGCAAGTTATGGTGATTATTATTCTGTTCAGCTCAGATCTTGTCGTGGGGAGTAGCTAGTGAAGTTTGAAGCCTCTGATCCCGTAAAGGGCAATCCATGCGAGGCACTGTAGCGCTAAGGCGCTTCTACTTTAAGAACGCTTCAAGGTTAAAATCACAGTAGACCGGTCAACATTTCAAGCAAAAAGCGAAATCCGTATACAGGGCAATCTACCAAGAAAATGCTATGAACTAAATGATAACAGTCGCCTATAGCCATCAATTTTCACTGCTCAAGGAGCATTGGGGTCGACACGGATCAAGCATGATCCCATCCCAGAGACCTTGCCCCAAGTCTCATGGGGCTCCCGCACGTTCTCCAAATCCCAGACCTTCTTGATCGGGACCTCAACCTTTCCATCAATGAGGAGATTCATGACGGTTTGAAGATCTTCCATATATGTCGCGCGATCGCGGTCAATGTAGTAGAAGGAAGTGCTTCTTTTGGTGAACAAGCAGCCGTTCTTGGCCAGAAGTTTGGCCATTCCGACGTACTGCGATCGCGGTTTGGCGTCATCACCCTGGAGAATGTTCATGTTACCGCCGAAACCGACAAGACGCGAGGGCTCGTCGGTGATGAGAATATCCCATGAATCATTGTAGTGCTCAAATCCAATTGGATCGTAGACCACGTGTGCACCACCGCGCTGCTTCATCTCACTGACCCAGTTCTTGTTGGCATAGGTAAAGGGTGTTACTCCGAGCTGGCGGAGAGACTCATGGTTGCGCTCTGAAGCGGTGCCGTAGACTTCAGCGCCCTCCAGCAGGCACAGGGTCATAATGGCATAGCCAACAGCGCCACTGATGGAATGGATGAAGACGCGCTGGCCCTTGCCAACCAAATTTGTCGCGCGATGAACAAGGCCATAAGCGGTGTTCCAATCAAGAAAAGCAGCAACCGCCTGTTGCATATCAACTCGCTCAGGAATGGCGATCAGGTACTTTTCGAGGATATTGATCTTCTGAGCCTCAGCATCGTACACGCTAAGAGCGCCAACGAGCTGACCAGGGCGGAATTTGGAGGACTTGTCCCCATTAGTGCTGACGCGACCAACGAAGCAGTAGCCGGGTGTCAAAGGTGCCGCCTTTTGCATGGGGTATGTGCCAAGTCGCATCTGGATGTCGGCGCCAGAGAAGCCTGAGTAGATGACATCGACTTGGACTTCGTTTTTTGCTGGAGGGGGGATTTGAGCTGTGACGACGCTCACGTTGGAGGAACCGCCGTAGGCAGAGTAGACGACTTTGCGGATGGTATGAGTGGCCATTGTGTTAGTGAGTTTATGATAGAGGTCGGTGTCAAATTAGGTTGATGTGCTGAGTGAATGCTTGGTATAATACTTGAGTGATGATGAATCAGAACGCACTGAGGGGGTTTCCATCATTCACTTATATAAGATTGATCTTCAATTGAAGCCTTGAGCATCGCCTTCGCTGAATTCGCGATCCCCATCATCAACTTCAGCCTTGAACCTCATCTCGCTCGATTCTCGGGGCGCTGTGGCCAATCAGCACCGTCCGTTCAATGACCTCGCGTTTCGCTGGCTCTGTCGCGAGACTGCAAAAGTCTCCACAAATGCGTCAAAAACGAGTGGATAAGTTGCTACGAAGCTTTGTCGTAATACGGAAATTTGTTGGACGATCTGACACGGTCAGTATGTGAACGAATGTCCGACGGAGCGGAGCAAATGTTATCCCGCTTAGGCCACTGCCATAGGTGACTAAAAGACCTAGGCAGGCCTTGTATTGGCCAGCCCGCTCTCCGACCTGTTGATTTTGACACCCTTGATTATTGCCAGTTGCTCCCCACCCACTGTGTTGCGCCTTACCGTAGCCACAGAGAGCATCAAGATGAAGTCACTCATGACTGACTTAACAGTCCAGTCTTGGAACATACAGGCTTAGTAATCTTGCTATCCTTGAATAATGGAAAACTAGGATGTTTCATTTTTTTTCATTCAATGTAACGGCAGTGTAGTCGGATGAGTTGAGCCATGTCTGGTCAAAGCGCAGGGTTATTCATGCGTAGGTAATCCATAATAAGCGACGATGAACATAGAATCTACAATCGCGAGGGCAACGTTCTATCACTTCCCCCACAAAACCTCTGCCCGAATTCAAGATGCATCGCTATTCTGTTCAAAGGGTTGGTGATGAGTACGTCTACACTCGCATTTTCGAAGAGTGGGAAGACTCAGACTATGTGGACGATGATGAAGAACTTGTCATCAGCCAAGAAAACGCTCAATTGATTGCTTGGATTGACGGATTTGAGGAGTCTATGCCCACTATCGAAGAAGTGCACGCAAGATACCATGAACTGGTCGGCAAGCATACAGCAGATGACATTTCTAGCAGAAATGCTAGTGAGCGTTTCTGGTTACATAGGCTAATGAATGGCACAGTGGGAGGTCCAAAATCTTCAGTGACATGGCTCATCAGGGCAATAAATAGATCAGAAGCTAACTCGCCCGGTTGAGCTCAGAAGAGAGATGGTGTTCTCAGGCTTCCAGGATATGGTCTCCCCTTGAGTTTCGGCATAGACAACAAGAAACGTCAGCCTTTCCTTCTTGGCTTGCATGATGAAGATTGGAAATCGCGAACACTCATGAATCGTGAAGTGTGTATGCTCAAGTTGGAGGAGGATATCACAAACAAGCCGCATTGGTGGGAGAAAGTCTTGAAAGCTGATATTGTCTACAAATGGAAGCAAGAAGCGCTGCAAATGCCATGGACAAGCTATCAGCACAATGGTGATTTTACAAGCAAAATGGCCGATGCGGTAAGTGCCAATAGGGTCGACTGATGGTACTTTATGACTGACGCTTTCCAGTGCTTCAAGGATCTTGCGGCAAAGGCTAAAATTTACGAACAAGTGAAGCTAATCCCCGTGATGGAATCTTCCTCTTGTGCCATCAAGTCTGACGCGCTTCTCCCCAATGAGTTGACACAGAAGCTCAGAACTGCGGCTGCATTACTTGAAGACGTTCCTGGGTCCCAGCGAGACTGGCATCCGGGAAGCAACGAGATGGTGCTGGACCTTGTTCACCCCTCACTCTGGCCGTTGGTGTTTGGCCGATCTCGAATTGTCTCCGACAAATACGTAACGCTGGACAAGTGCCTTGATCATTGCGGGTCGGGAGAAGTCATCCCGGAGCCTAAAAGGCCACATCTCAAGATACCAGACGGCTCTCCATTTTTCACTGAATACAACGATAAGAGAGCTTCATCACTACGATACCAGTGGCTTCCATGCGATGTTGATCTGATAGGTAGTCGACCACGAATCAAGAGCTACGTCAACAATCTTCACCCTGTGCGATACAAAGCCGTATATTCTCTCATCGAAGAGCTTATTGAAATATCCCTCCCCGCTTGGGATATTGTCTGCCGTTCAGCTCGCAAGGAGTTCAAGTTCAAGAGATTCGGAACCGTTCACGAAGTCAAGTGGATGTGTAACGTTCCTGAGATCTGTTCGAAGATGCATGGCTGTTATCCGAGTAGTAGATCATTCGCAGAAGGCGAGGATTACGACAGTGGTTCGGAAACTAGTTCTGTCTTAGAAGAGGGTGAGCGGTTGAACAGGGAATGGTGGGCAGAAACTCACAAAATTAAATGCCCAGAACCATTGGAGGATGCAACATACCCCCTGAATGCATCCCATTTCAGAAGTGAAGGTTTCTTCAACGATGCCTCACAGATTCAAGTCATTTTCAAGATGGCAAACATTCATCTGACTCCTGAGAAGCCCAGGTATGATGGTGGCTCATGGCACGTTGAAGGGCAACTCAACGAACATATCTGCGCCACGGCTCTGTTCTACTACGACAGCGACAACATCACCGAGTCTCGTCTTTCCTTCCGTACTCATGCGGATAGAGAAAACCTTAGAGATAGGCTTAGTTACTCTCAGGGAGACCACCATGGTATTGAAGCGATCTTTGCCATCAAAACTAAAGGGGATAAGATGCAGGATCTAGGGAGCGTCATGACACCAGAAGGTCGAGCCTTGTTTTTCCCTAATGTTTATCAGCACCGAGTTGAACCTTTTGAGTTGGCCGACAAGACGCGCCCCGGGTATCGCAAAATTGTCGCTCTGTTTCTTGTTGACCCAGTCATCCCGATCATCTCGACAGGCAACGTGCCCCCCTCAACAAAAGCATTGGTGGAAGGATGAGCTCAGACAGTCAGAGACGCTCAATTACCTTCCTAGTGAAATTATGGATATGATAAGTGAGAAGGTGGACTTTCCATATGGAATAGATGAAGCAAGACAGATCAGAGAAGATTTGGTATCAGAACGAAAGGTTGTAAACAGCGACAGCCTCAGACAACGGGCTCAGAATTGGAACTTCTGCGAGCACTAACTAATCTTATGAAGGAATCCGTGTTGCTCATTACTATTTTATCCTACAGCTAGATTAAATCAACTTTTTGCAACCAAACAGTGCCAAACCTTCATGACCGTCTTCAAGGACTTCTGGCAGCCTATTATGAATGGAAGGTGGGCAGATATTGGCTGGTGTTGAACCAGCTCATATTTGCTCAATCAAAAGATTCAGGCTGTCAGCGGTACCTCCCAAAGGCGTACAGCATCGAAGTCGATACTGGCAAGAAACAGGGAACCCTTCGAGTGGTCCTCCCAAGCCAGCATTTCGTAACCCCCTTTGCTAGTGACCTTGCCCTGTTCGTTCCTCCACTTGCCAGCGCTTGGCCCATCTTCTGTTCCACCTCTTGCAAATCGCCACTTAACTTCCTGTTTGAGATCGTAGACTTCAATACTCCAATCACCGAATGCCCAAACCGCAAGCTTATTTCCAGCGTCGAAGAACCTCGTTTCCAACGTCCCAACGAAGCCTTCCATCATATCACGAGACTCCTTGTCCACTTGACAAGTATCTGTAGAGAATAGTCGTTTTTGTAGTAAGCTCTTCTTACTAATATCAAGGAGAAGTAGCTCGCCATTGCTCTCTCCACCTACAGCAAGCCACGGGTTGGTTGGGTGCCATGCAAGAGTCCTTCTCCAGCGATCAGGACGTTGCCCTTTGTATACCCAGTGCTGCCCTCCGTCAGCCAGGGAATAAACCCACACGTTGCTTTGTCCGTCCGTTGCTGCGAAGTAGCTCGAGTCAGGACTGAAAACTCCTGCCCAGTTCTGCCCCTCGGTCTTGAATTTGTACTTTTGCTCCCCCGTAGTAGCATCCCAAATACGGATCGACTCGTCCCATGACACAGAAGCAAAGACTGATTCATCGGGGCTCCATCCTGTCCACATGACCACATCGGTATGGCCCTTCAGAACCAGCCCCTTGGAAAGATCGTCAGAGGGAACGATCTGAATATCCCATGGATCATCTCCATTCGAGACAGGTGACTCTCCAGGCAAATATGTCATCCAGATTCCTGAAGGGCTGAAAATTTGAGACCCGAGAGCTGATTGTAGTCGGCCTTCTATGGTCACTTTACTCGCCGCGATGTGCTTGGAGACAGTGCGACTGACAGCAGGCCCGACAGTTATATCTAGATGGCGGAGTTCGTCCTTGCTTAGATTGATACCGGCTTCCGCCAACTTGTCTGCAGCAGCTGAAAGAGCGGCCTGACTGGCATTTCGTACCTGATCGTCACTCAGTCTCGGTGCTGACTTTTCTTCTTCGATGTTCCACAGAATGATCTTAGGTGGTTCAGAATTCCCCGAGTCGTCGTATACCTGCTCTTCACTCGAGACTAGCACGTCTGAGCGGTCGGCTCTGAATGCCAGGGCTTCAACTTTGTTTGTATGACCCCTCAGAACTGCAATGGTATCCCAGCTCTGGGTATCGATAATATGGATGACATGGTCGATTCCAAGAGCAAGATACTTTCCATTGCTGCTCAAAGAACCAGTATGTGGCTGCATTTCAAGGGTAACCTTCTTGATCTCATCATCCCATTGCTGTTTGCCGTTCTCAGCATATGGGAAAGGGTTCCCTTGAGATGTAGTGAAGTCTTGCTTGACGGCGTACCGCCAATCCTTCAGGAACCGGTCACTCGAGTAGCTTGGCATTACTAATTGAGAATGAAAGTTGACACTGGGACCCGTTGAATAATGAAAGTCTTGGGGGCAAAGCTGACATATATATACGACATCTCGCGGGGTTGCTGCCTAAAGTCCTATGAGTCACGTGTACGCAGTTCGTTTTTGACCAACAGTGACGAAACAGGCTAACAGGCAATTGTTTCGTTCTATAAGATACTGGCCCGGCTTATGGTTGCTAGAAATGGAAGACATCTGAGGAATGAATTCTCAAACAGCATTTGCTCTAGCGGTGGCAATTTGGCGCTATGAAGGTGTAGTGATTTTCAACAGTCTAACGTAAACGATAGCTGGCAGTTGATTGGTCTACATATAACGCTGCCACTAATGAGAGCCATATTGCCTGTGGTTCCAGGTCAAAGATATCAGACGGGTGGCGTTCTGGGAAACATCGCTGAGATAAGCGTCCTAGTCATGACGAATACTAGAGGGCGAGGCGGTCTCAACGTACCGATAGCATTTGACCCAACCGCGGATCTCTAGAGCCAGGCGCATTTGTCTCAAGGGTTAGGGCGAGGTAGAAACTGATCTTGAGACCACAGTTGAATGTGTCATGTCATTGAAGAGCGTGAAAACGCTGCTTTCGGTCAGCAGCGTGACCCAGTTACTGCACTGGGGAGTCATCAAGAATTGCACAAGGAGAGCCGTTCTTACGCAGACAGATTGGGATGGAAGGGAGACACGATTGCAGGTCCCAGCTCTGAATGAGTCGATGGTGAGACATACAAAAGATGGAATATGGTGATCCAGAGAAAGAAGATCGTGTGTAAGGTGAATTACAAAGGGGACATGTGGTATGATGAATCGGAGTGAATGTGTGGCCGTTCAATATTCGGAAGTCTCAAGTCAGACAAGATGGTATCGATAACTTTGAAGTATGTCTGGAGGGCATGCTTTTGAACCTTAGATGCGATCAAGATCATGACTAAGTTGTTGTCGGCAAGACAGCTTCTTCTTGGGTTTAACAACAAAAGAGGCAAGGAAAAGCTTCTTTACAGACAAACACTTGGGAGTGGCATAGATCGAAGGGAGGAACCAGTATCAGTGGGATTAGAGGAGCAGATGGCAAGGCGGCCAAAATCGAAGCTATAACGGGGAGCTGTGTATTATACTGACATACGTATTGTCTCGCCACACATATATCGTCCAAGTGATTCAGGTTTTGAATTGAGACCGTTTAAGTACCTGCAAAAATGTAAAATCGGCAAAAATAACATACAACAGCGGGGATTCGCTGGTCGTCACCGACCCAACTACTAATCCGCCGGTTAGTGGCTTGACTATGGGAGAGCGGACGGGATCCCGTATTTTCCACTACCTTTGGTCCTATGTGTTAGTGTAGGGTGTAGCTATGGTATATCACTCCATTAGATTGTCTCTGGCAAAGTGAGATTTCCAGTATATGCTTGCAGTACCGAAGAGACTGCATAGCAGAGGTAGCTAACTAGCTAGTGCAGATTTATAAGCTAATTCTGTCTTAGGCAAGTCTTTTCAGTTGGTCTTATCAATGAAAATTCCTGCGATGCAACCTCGTCTTTGTTTGACTCGTGCGTGAGGCATCGCGTCCCTTCATCGACACACGTGTGCTTATCGCATTCATCTCAATAGTCTAGACAAGCCATCTGCCACAGCCGATCCTCAAAAGTCTTGAATGAAGCTTGAGTTATTGTCCAAACTAAACCTTCGTGGTTGAACTGATGAATTGGATTGGTCGGTGAAGAGTCTCATGGTGGAACCACGTGGGATGTAGACCAGCTGTAATACGGCCACCCGGGACCTAGTCGTAGATCAGAAGCCTCCGCATGATCAATTCGGTACTTTGCGGGTAATTTTCGCATTGCCCTCGTTAATTCTTATACATCAAGATGCGCCCTCGTCTGGCGGAAAATGTTACAGTCATAGCAAGTGTCTATGCTGTCCGTGGTTTCTTTGCCTCACCTGCAGGAATCATGAATCTTTCAGGCTACTTTTGTAGCCAGACTGACAAGGACGATATTGAGTATCGACCTCTTCGGCCAACGAGTCCGACGAATGAAGATGACTTGAAGTCCTATGCAACATGCTGTTCTTCACGAAGAAGGCCATGTATAAGAGGCCGGAGGAAGTGGCTGAGTACGTTTCTCGCTGCTTTTGCTGGAGCATGTCTGATCCTGTCGGTTCTTACTCAACTCTTCGTCGCATATACGGGCTGACGTCTTGACTAGAATCGCCTTTTTCCTGATGACATTTGTAATCGAGCGGTATGCTGTGTACACCTTCGAAGCTTCTGGCCTTGCCTTGGCCGACCCTATCGAGAAGTACGGTGACGCTATGGAAAGCGCCAAGAGATGGGTTGAAGTCCTGTCGCCTCAAGTTACTCCAGTTATGGTTCATTCTCACAATGACTACCTGAGACCTCGGCCGTTGTTCTCGGCTTTATCTGTTGGCTGTGCTAGTGTCGAAGCCGACGTTTGGCTCAGCAAGAATGGAGAAGATCTCTTGGTCGGCCATCATTGGTGGAATCTCACACCAGAGAGGACCCTAAACTCTCTTTACATTGAACCATTGCTGGAGATCCTCGACTCTTTTAACTCCCCACAGTTCACGGTTGAACTCCAGGGTCAGGGACACCGTGCTGGTGTGTTTGCTAGCCATCCAAACAAGACACTGATCCTATTCATTGATGTCAAGGATGACTCAGAGAAGACTTGGCCGGTGGTACTGGGGCACCTGGAACCTTTGAGACAGAAGGGATATCTTTCATATCACCAGAATAATGGATCAACGCCGGCAGACCAGACATTTCATTCTGGCCCACTGACTGTGGTCGGAACCGGCAATATTGGCAAGAGGCGGGATGTGAATATCGGATCCGATCTACAAAAGTGGCGGCGACACCACGACGTATTTCTCGATGCCTCGTTGGATCTTCTGTCCCACCCTGGATTTTGTGATAGAAACGATACACTTTGTCGCCAAGTGGAAGAGAATGAGTTTTACACAGCTTCTGTATCTCTCTTCAGAGCTATCGGAACTGTCATCCCATACTTTAGCAAGTCGCAACAGGGGAAGCTGGCTAATCAAATTCAACTTGCAAAGAAGTTGAACTTGAAGTCGAGATACTGGGAGCTACCAGGCTGGCCTGTATCCCGAAGGAACTACGTTTGGAGGACACTCAATCATGAAGGGGTTGACTTGATCAACGCTGATGATATAGTCAGTGCAACGACGAAGCAGTGGCACTCTAATTATGCTATAGAAGGCGCATGGGTTCTTGGTATTGCCTCTTGTCTCTTTAGCTTCCTCTTTACTGTCATGTGGTTGGGAAAGAGGATTGTATTTCGCATGATGACCGTTTAGAATGATTAGCTAGTTTATAATACCCCTTCTCAAGAGAGAAATACGATATACAAACTCAAGGTCGATATCAGAGTTTCAGTTGTTATCTACCTGTGCCTTATTGGCCATTGTTTTTGCTAAGTGTCTTCATATTCTAATATCCAGCTAACTGGTAGGTCAAGGTGTTTAGGAAATATATTAGGCGCCCGCCTACTGCTCTGGTGAGATGCGAAGGGCCTTTCTGCTTTTCTGGTGTGTTTTATTCATACGAAGCCTTGGAACTCACAAATGTTGAGTGGGCCGGTCAAAGTATCGGGACAAAAAGTCAAGCTTTCTGGTGGACAGACCTTGTCATTTTAGGAACATAGGGCAAGTTACGGCATGCGTTCAACAGCACGTCGAGTCAAAGGTATGATCATTTTGGGCGACAGTGTTGTCCTTCCTAGAAAATGCCCTACCAGACCGCAAGATGCCCCATGGAAGCACGGACAGAACCGATGCTGGGCAATTTGCCGCCTTAGCCGCTTGGGGGCTTGGCGCATCTCTAGAAGACGCCAAACGCTAACAACAAACATGTCTGATACACAGCATCTGCATCTGAAACCATAACTCAGAAGTTACAGGCTCGTTACAAACCAATGAGTTCTTCATTGGGGATTCTGACAGATGGTGGCAACACCGAATATGCAGTGTTCCATTGGACATGACGACGCTTCTGTTCTAAAAATACCAATCCTTGCATCTTCATTCGCAACGGCCCAAACGCCAAGACAGCAATGGCCAGAGAGAGGAGGGCCAAGCGTCGCTCAAGCCTCCGCAGACAATACGTGGCATCACTCAATCTTGTGAGGCTGTGCTCGTGATAATCCACATTTCTCAGTCTCAGGGTTTCCGATTGGGTTTGGTCAGGAGGGTTGATGGAGACGTCAACTGTGGCTGGGAAGACCATCTTTGCCTCCGCCTCGGTAGTTGACATATATAAGCTGCTTCCCGACAGATGAAGCAGAATCTGTTTCTTGATATTCAAAACATCTTCAATCAAAATGACTTACTACGGCCACAACGTCAACTTCCAGCAGCAGAACCCTGGGTATAACCAGGATGGCCCCGGCCAGGGCGGATATGGCGGGGACGATCAACGTCGCAATGACCAAGGCGGGTATCAACAAGGCGGTCCTCAGCAGTATGGTCAACAACAAGGAGGCTACCAACAGGGTGGTCCTCAACAAGGCGGTTATCAGCAAGACCGCCCAGGTCTCTCGCAATCTTACTACTCCGAGTCCTCTCAGTATCCTCCTGGTGGGCAGTCTGGACCTGGGCAATACCAACAGGGCCCTCCTGCATATAACCAAGGACCTCAGGGCCAGTTTGATGGCGGCGATGGTCCCGACGGTGAGCGTGGTGTAATGGGGGCCCTTGCCGGCGGTGCAGCTGGAGCTTTCGGTGGTCACAAGATGGGCGGAGTCACTGGACACAGCAAGACCAGCACCATCGTCGGAGCTTTGGCTGGTGCTTTCGGCGGTCACAAGCTGCAAGACGCCGCTGGAGACTGGAAGGATGAGAGAGACGAGAAGAAGGAAGAAGAGAAGCGACGAAAAGAGGAAGAGAAGAGACGCGAGGAGGAAGAGAGGAGGCGAAAGGAGCGCCGCGACGATGATCGTTATGAATCTCACCATCGTCGCCGCAGCCGAAGCCGAAGCCGAAGCTCTTCTCGTGGCTCCAACCGACGTCGTGGTGGCCACTACGCCGGTAACTTCACCGCCTCATCTCGAGATATCAGACTCGATGCTCACGGCGACTACGTTCTACACGCCTCTTGTAAGCGCGAGGACGGAGACTACCAGCACACATCCATTTCCCTCGACAAGGTCCTCGAAAACGACAGGGGAAGCTTCCGCTGGTCCGCAGGTGGCCATCACGGTAGCTCTTCTTCCGTTACAGTCCAGCAAGGCGATACCCTTCGAGGCATCGCAGCTCGGTTCAATTGCTCCTTTGAGGAGATTGCTCGACATAACGGCATCAACAACCCTGATCTAATCTATCCTGGGCAGACACTCCAGGTGCCTGGTGGTGGTCGCCATGGTGGCGGTGGATTCGGATCTTCCGCCCGACATGTTCGTCTGGTGGATGGAGGTCAGAGACTTGAGGGTGAGCTGTCTCGCGACGGAGACTGGGTGCTTAGCTCGATCATTCTTGATGAGAGAATCAGAAACTTCAACGGCACCTTGGAGCTTGTCTAGGTTAGAAGTTGGGGCGTGTAAAATAGCAACTAGAAAGCGTATAATATCATAAAAGACTGTTTACTCTTACACTATGCTTAGGCTCCTCAGTACCAGGAAAATGTGAGAGTGTAATCTGTAAAAACCCCTTAGTTGGCTTTCTGATCTAGATAGCCAACGGGAGGCAAGAAATTATAAGACCTGAGAAGAGTATGCTAAATGCAACTCAGTAAATAATCCTAAGCTTATGCTAAAATGCCTAAGTCTTTTTATCACTCAGGACAAAGGTCCTAGGTTTTCTTGCCTATTGTTTATCGCCATGTGCAGTACCAGTTCCCAAAACCAACAATTTCTGCCAGGCGACTATGAGACGCTCACTTATGTTCGGTCTCAGGCTTTCGGCCCCAGACAAAGCGAACCTTGAAGTAGGGGTGAAGTTTCTTGTTCCGAAGATCCTTTCGCACCTGCATCAGGAAAATCTGATATTCCTCAGCTGGCCACTTCAGAACTTCATGCCAAATCATTTGCGAATATCCTAGGGAGCAAAGGTCAGTCTTGGTTGAACAGTCTAATTTCATCTGCTTACAGCCTTACCAACAAGGTCGGATTCCAGACTGAGCTTCGCATACTGACCGATCTCCGCCATCTTAGGGTCCTTGGGCCATGAACCGAATGGTATCTGTTCAGGTGCGGTTGTTTAGTATGCGCAGAATTCTATGGGACTCCTAACTTGCCTTGTAGAAGGTTTCTTGGATGTCCACGAAGCCAGCTTCTTTCATAGCCTTCATCTGAAGATCTTCCGTGAGGACAGACAAAGAGCATCCAGTGGCTTTGCCTCCCTCGATGAACATCTTATCCCAGGTTCCCCCCAGCGCAGTTGATCCGTCATCTGTTACGGTTCCATCGTCGCTATGTGTCATGGGCTCGGACTCACAGGACTCGACCCAGCCTCCTGGCTTGACTGCATTGTATGCCTCCTTGAAGAGAGCGGTCCAGTCTCTGATAGCACCAAACAAGTAACGCATATGCACAAAGTCAAAGGTATTTGCATCCCAAGTCCAAGGCTTAGTACAGTCATCGATCTCAAACTTGAGATTAGGGGGTACCCAGTCTGGCTGTACGGCGGACAAGTCTGTGCCGATGACAGCGGTATTTGGGTGCTCATCAGCATAGTCTCTGGTGATTATAGTTAGTAGAGATAACAAGTCAGATCAGTGGTACAAACATTGCCCAAATTCCTAAGAAACCAATTAGCACCTTGTATGTCTGTTGACTAGTCGTGACCTGCCTGTTCCCGTTCCAACATCTAGCACTTTCTGCATCACAAAGTGTCAGCCCTGCAAATCTCCTATTCAGTAATGCCATCGTACCTGAACATCGTCCTTTACAGGTGCCAGGTACAGTTTATCGTCAGTAAGCAGTGTCAAGAAGTGGTGCCTTGATACAATCAGTAGCTGCTCTGTGCCAGAGGAGGTGCGGAGTAATGTTCACTTACATCAGATCAAAGTTCTCGAGAGTTTGTTCGTCAGTGGGAATGGGATAGCTACTGTCATGGTAGGTAGAATGGTACGACCTTCCCTTGAACTTTCGATACTCTAAGATACTTGAAGCAACAGATGCTGTCGATGAGTCACTGCAAAAGTCAGCTATGGTTCAACGTCTATCCCCCCACAGAAATCATACACTCCTGAGCTCAATGCCGAATCATCGTCGATTACTGTTTCTTGTTCAGGTTGGTGGGGAGCAGCTGGCGCAAGTGGTTGCTCTGGGGTATTTACATCTGCAACTGGTGGAGATGTCTGAGTAGCCTGTTCAGACGATGTGACTGGTACAGGTGCAGGAGGAGATGACATGGCACTGTGATTTTTGGCGTAGCGCTTGATTGGAACAAATTTCTTAGATGAGTGAGAAAAGCCAAGTGAGGAGAACGTTAAGCGTTTTGTAGGGAACACGCCATGCTGGTTGTTGGTCGTACAGATGCTGAGGATATGCGCGGAGGCATGATGGCAGTCGCTGATTGGGCATATCGTCCAGGGATATCGCGTAAAGCATCCGATAACTCAATCAGGCAGTTCGCGTAGAGTGTTTTTCTAGGTCAGGATACTTGTTTGGATAAATGCCCTTTTTTCCGTGCAGTCCGGGGCTACTTTGGCAGAACATATCCCATCGAGACCGCAGCCAAAGCCGGAGAAAGACCCTGATTTGGGATTTTACCTCAACACAATGCGAAATTGTGCGGCAAAGCTTTATGATCCCTCATTTTCGCACCGAAGTAATCCATGATGCCCTTCAACGCTCATAAAATGTTTCATAATCGTGCGATTCAATTATGTATTCCTTTCAGTGGGTATCCGTTGACTGTCCCCATCGGTGTTGTGGACTCAATTCGCATCTCACTAATGTCAAAGTAAACTTAATTACTTTATTCCCACTTACTTAATAATGAAACCTCATATATGTAAGATGACCAGGTGACAGCCCTATGACTATTCTTCCTTGGTATCTTGCGGAAATAGGTGTTATGTTATGTTATGTTA